TTCAGCAGCATACTTATTCCATCTACAATTGTTTGTAAAAATAACACCTAAAAACTTTACAGAGCTTTCTACAGACATTACATTATTATTGAACAAAATATTTACATTCCTATTTCTAATTCCATTTTTTCAAAAGACAACAACTTTTTTCATTGCTGACCTCCAGCCGAAGGCTATCAAAATAGTTCTTTAGTCTTAGGAGAGCTACATTGAGGACTGATTGTACACTTTGTACATCTTTGTAAATCATCTGCAAACTGCAGATTAGAAACTTCACACCCCAGAGTTAAATTTAGCTGATGTATGAATAGGATCAAAAGCAATGGGCTCAATACACCACCCTGTGATACACCCCTACAAGAATATCTTGGACCAAATAACTGATTGTTAACCGTAACAAACACTTTTCTGTAGTTCAACAAATTAAAAATCCAATTTACAACTTTTCCAGGTACCCGCAGTAATAATAATATTGAGGATAATTTGTTCAGATCTACATTATTGAAAGCCCTTACAATGTCAACAAAAACACCAACTAGTACTTTATTCTCGGAACGAGTATCGTGGATATCCAGACAGAAATGATGTAGACTCTCACAAGCAGAACGGCCACAATGAAAGCCAAACTGATTGTAAGGTAAAAGATTATTACTTTCTATGTGAAAAATTAATCTCTGTTTTATTAATTGTTGGAAAGTTTTTCCAACACATGAACTCCTATTACAGGACGATAAGAATCAGCCAAATTAAAGTCTTTGCCAGGTTTTAATATTGGTACCAAACATTCAGTTTTCCAATCCTCTGGGATAATAGAAGACGTCCATAAACTATTTAATAAACTTAAAAAAATAGATAGAGATTGAACATTTAAAAGTTTAAACATTCTGTAGGAAAGCCAATCCAGGCCACATGAAGAATCTTTTCTTGAGGCTAAAGCAGGTTAAAAGCTAAACTCTTGCATAGTAAAACAACCCATTATGTATGAATTATCACTATTTACTCCAAGAACATTATCTATACTTATCTGTTGTGGAACAGTATCCGGTGTGTATTTATATAAAAATGTTTGAACCCAATTGAGGTCAGAAAATAAGTTAGAACTCGGAAAGCTTTTTTAACGGCTTGTGCGCGTTTGAAATTAATGTAATTTTTACTATTAAGACTAGTTTTGAAATTAATGTAGGCGTTCTTGCAGTCTTCGCCTACTTTTGAACATTTATCATTCCACCAAGGTACTTGACACCTTTTTATAGGACGGTTATTATTACTATCAGTTATGTTATGGTTTAAGCTGGGCCTGGAGAATTTGATTGCCAATAGAATAATTGAACAAAACTTTCTATATGAGTCATGGAAATCACTATTGTCAACTTTAAAGTTCATTAACATTTTATTAACAGTTTGGTCATAACTATCCCAATTTACTAATTTCAGATTGCTGTGAAAAGGAATGTTGTTCAAGGAAATAGAAGGCTCATGTTGATCTCTTACGAGAGTAAATTTTGTGATAGTTGGCGGATGATAACTGCCTAAAGGGTCCTGATGAACTTGCCAGTCACAAGAAAGAAATAAAGAAGAAGACTCCATAGTTAAATCTAGACTGTTAGGTTTCCAAATAAGAGAACCTATAGTTGTTGGTTGTCCATTATTTAAAAGTATTAAGTTATTGTCATCCATGGAATCCATAATAGCTCTGCCCCGAGAATCTATGCGACTGCAACCCGAAAAAGTGTGATGGGCGTTAAAATCACCTGCAATTATCAAGGGTTTTGGAATACTGTACAATAAACTATCGAACTTCGCCTTTTCACAAGCAGGAAAACTGTTACCAGGACTGTAAAAACTAACCAAATAAATGTATTTATGTTTCAGTTTAATAACAATTACTACATTTTGTAACGAATCATCATAAAAAGTATCTAGTTTAGAGAAATGTATACCATTTTTAATTAATATTGCTACGCCATTATGATCATTACCGCAGTCATTACTAATCATGGTATAACCACATAAATTAAATTGAATGCTAGGCTTGATCCAAGTTTCTGAAATAAGAGCTACCTGTATATTATTTTGGTTTACAAAATTTTGAAACTCAAGTCTGTTACTTAACAGACTTTGAGCATTCCACTGTACAATATTTAAGATTTAGTGGTAGAATGTGACGATTTGCTATTTTTGTCTTGGACGGTTTCTTTAATAGCTGAGCTAATAAAATGTGAACTAATACTTATATTTTGAGTTTTATTTAAAGTTATAACTTTTACTATAGATTCTGTTAATAGTCATAGTTTCAGAATTTGATAGTATTGCGTGTATTTTAGTATCTTATAATACACGCAATACTATTATATTCTTCTTGGGTATTTAATTTTTTATTAAGGGAGGGAAAATTTAATGAATCTTTTAACGTGTCAGCATATGATTTGGGTTTACTGTTTGCGATTTTCTTTTGCCTTATAGGGCACTGGCTAGAGATGGCAATGTGATTGGCATTACAATTAATGTTAAGCTTTTTCAATGTTAACCTTGCATTCTTTGAAAGAATACCCCTCTGTGCATATGGAGCATCGCGGTGAATTTTTACAAAACTTTGCAAATTATAGTATAAAACTATTTAAAATAATTAAAAGAAGATTGTCCACTTAGTATGGGGACTTTGGCCTGACGTGAACAGCCATTTTATCATATTTTTTGTAATTAGTTTAAAAGCACTAACTAGTAATAATGAGAATATGAACTTAATTTTGTATCAAAATGTTTAAAAAGAGATTTTTGTCATGTGAGGAAAAACAGGTTAAAGCAAAATAAAACAACATTTTTTATGATTTATTTTTATTCTGAGACATCATATGTTATTAATATGTGTTCAAGAAATTGGACAGGTGGTGAAATGTGTTCCTGATACCTTGCCCAACTTAAAAACCATAAAATAGTCATTATATGAGCGCAGCAACCCACTGTCCTTCGACTAACCATACAATTACAATAATATTCTTTTATAGCTTCCTTACATTATAATATATATATAAAATATATTGTTTGACTTACATGCCTGCTTTGTATTTTTCCACGCAATAATCTGCAGTTGGCCAAAGGAATCAGGTAGTCAACTAATAGGTCGCTGGCTATATTTCTACATTTTTCTAAAGTATAGGAACCTTCGCCTCTTATGTGCTGCCTGTAATACAAACAAGCATGTTTTAGTTGGTATGTTCCACATGCAATTAATATAAGATCATTATATTCTATTCTTGGAAATATGAAACTATACATGTTTACATTTATAGGTTGAAAATCTGCCCGCCTTCTATTTAAATTATTTTCGATAACAAAGTCAGCTAATGTGTTAGGAGTAAACATCTTTTCATTTATTATAATACAACAGTATTTATATACTTAATCCTTATGGATTATAATTATATAAAACAATAAAACCTCATTTTGCACTATAGGAATAGCATATACAATACATATCTATTAAAAAACGAGTAATTTAAATAATTAATTAAATTGACACTTACTCGTCGAGGAGCTATCCACTGTCTTATAATAGACTGAACCTAATTAAGATCTAGACTATGTCGCCTTCTCTCTATCAAATCACTTCCACAGTTTATGCATCTCAGAGATACGGATTGGTAAGAAGTCACTTCTTCTGTGTGCAGACTATCATGAGACACGCTTTGGTTTTGTTCAATGTCCATATTAAAGCCGTGGTTAGCGATGGAGCTAGTTTTCGGGGTCCATATTACGTGAGTGTTGTTCATCGTTTATGCCTTGATCAGAGTCCATAATACAAAAGCCAGGGTCATCGTTTGAGCGAAATTCGGGGTCCGTAGATGTGCAGGGGTCATTGGAAAAAGATAGGTCGGAGCCCATAATGAATAAACAATCGTTGAAAGAAAATCCATAATAAATCAACACTCTCAATGTATATAGGTAAACAAAGCGAATGTAAACAATCAGTCTGTGACATATCAATGTCAATATGTATTTTTTCGTTTTATTAGTGTTGCAATAGAAAAACATCATTAAAAAATCGATCGAAAACAAATATGATTATGTTTAACTTTCTTCATATTTCAGTTTATAAAACGTTTTAAATGACGAAACTAATTAAAAACAAATATATATTTTTTTATTAAATACTTATAGTTGTATTAAGTACTGCGAGATCTTGCAGGTAACACAAAACGTGGATCAATAAAGCAAATCAATGAAGATACTTAAAAATATTTTTTCAATAAAATACAAATGTACACTCCAACAACAATAGAATGGCTAGCTAAAAAAATATTTTTTTTTTCATAAACTTGTTTTTTGATAGCAGCTTGTTCACGCTAGGCCAAAAATGGACATTGCCCTTTTAAAAAGCCCGCGTCAACGTTTCAATTCCCACGCAATTTTTTCAGGATGTAAATAAACGTCGACAATATAGAAGTAGTACAAAAATTTATATGAGTAAAAAATTTTAAGTTCATCTTCATGTTGACTGTTTTAAAATACATAACTCACAGTAATACATAATACTATTACGATAAAAGAGTTGCTAGTGAAATTCAAGTTCAGTAATTCCAACGTTCCTTAAACGCAACATTTCGCGGAATGTAAACTAATTAATCAATATTTATTAAATACTAGAAGACCTGGCGAACTTCGTATCGCCCTATAATCAAGAAATATCTATTACGTTTTTTTTATTTATATTTTTGGAGTTTACTTGTAAGCCATAAATCACCGTGTTTTGAAGTTCGTAAGAATGATTGTCGGGAGATCTGGTTGACACACGTGCGAGGGAAACTCTGGTGTCGCTAATTCATCAGTTTTCTATATTTTTTCGTGTTGCCTTAAGTCAGAATAGTGCTTAGTTCTAGTTTTTGTGTATTATTATCACGTAGTTATAGTTTTTGGGTGTTTTACTAACCTATATTGTATTCGTGTAAGTACTTATTTGTTTTGTATTAGTACACTTTTACATATATATACAATTGTATAAAATGGATGGTGATCCTCCCCCGTTCCCCCCGGATCCCGGTGATCCTATGAATACTGATATACAATTATCCTCGTCTGCCAACCTGGAAGCTCAAAACGTATCGCGTAAGCGTCATGGTGATGATGATTCTTTAACTCCTTCAGCTGGTCCTAAGAAAACGATCACCAATCCTTCTCTCTCCTCTCCATCAATTCAGACATTATATACCCATCCTTCTCTTCTAAATGGTTCTCCTTCTTATACAGACATTGATAAGGGCCCTTATATTGTTCATGTCTCACGGAATACTCAAGACCCTGCTTCCCCTATATCTATCAAGCCAATTATTTTTGGTAAATTCTTATATAACCACAAAATCAAAGACATTGTAAAAGATGGTGTCAAAAGTGTTGGCCGCAACAAAATTTCAGTCCAATTTACATCGGCTCAGGCTGCCAATTCTTTTCTTTCCAATAAAGTTTTAGATATGTGTAAATACAAAGCTTACATACCAACCTACAATGTTACTCGAATGGGTTTAGTTAGAGGAGTCCCCGTTGACATGTCAATGAATGAATTCATTGAAGCACTGAATCCTCTGCCAGAGGGTTGTGGTATAGTTTTAAAAGCTAGAAGATTAAATAGAAAACAGGTATCTTTGGAGGGTGTTTCCACTTGGGTACCCACTCAGTCAGTGGTACTAACATTTAGAGGGCAGATGCTCCCTTCCAAGATTTATGCATTCTCTGTAGCACTTCAAGTTGATAATTATAGATTTCCTACTATTCAGTGTCTTAATTGTTGTAGATTTGGCCATGTTAAAACTCAGTGTAGGTCAAAGCCTAGATGCTATAAATGCTCATGTGACCACCCAGGTGAAACCTGCAGGGTTACCATGGAAAATTCAAAATGTATAAATTGCAGTGGTATGCATTTTGCTAACGAGAAAGCATGCCCTGAGTATACTCGGCAACAGTCCATTAAGATGGTAATGTCTCAGGAAAATATTTCGTATAATGAGGCCTCATCCCGCTTTGCCCCCTCCCGCAAATCCTATGCTGACTCAGTAAGGACGTTGTCTTCTCCTCTTCTTTTGTCTTCCTCTCAAAATACCATTTCCCCAACTTCTCCTATTTCGCCTTCCCCATCCAAATCATATCGTAAAACCACTTTCTCAGCTCCTCGTCCTCATGCTCCATCCCCAATAGGTTATGACAAACTGGCTCACCAGGCTGTTATTGGTAACATTCCTACTTCTTCTGGAAATGGTGTTGCTCTTAATAATGGAGAGGAAAAAAATTTGTCTCCATTTGAATCTCTACTACTCCAACTATCATCTGTTATCCTGTCTCTGATTACATCTAGTAATTCCCCTTTACCGCCCAACGTTGCACACAACCTCACCACCTTATTCAATTTCATTAACAATGTTAACTCAACTCCTACAATGGAACTGTAAAAGCATTCATCACAAGAAAGCCGATCTGCTCTCCCTTTTCTCTTCTCACAAACCTGTCATTGCTGCCATCTCGGAAACATGGTTACGTCCTGGTTCTCGGTTCCGAGTCCCTGGATATTCCTGTTTACGGGATGACAGAATAGATGGGTATGCTGGCTGTGCCATTCTTATTCGTCACTCGCTACCTTATCTTCCTATAGCCGTTTCTCCACATAGTCCTGAGTTTAATGTTGTAGCTGTAAGAGCTCTAGACATTTCCTCTTCAGCTGCCCTAAACTCCTTCATCCCCTGTATGATATTTTTCCTGTCAACATTCCCCGTCCTATAAATACCGAATTTCTGTTGTCATTGGTGTTTGGTTCCTTTAGTAAATTTATATGTAAATATATTAAAATTAATAGAATTAAGTTGTAACAATCTGTCTTATTTTTATTGAATATTAGTCTTAGTTTAACATTTTTTATACAGTTTATGTGTTATATATATAGCTCCTAAGTTTTCATCCAATTATATTTGTGTTGTTTTAGATCTACTAACAAAGTACCCTATTGTGACTTTGGCTGGGACTGTTAAAGTTTATTTCATTTTAAAGTAAATCCCGGATCGTGTCTCTTCCAATCTACTCGACATTGGCAGAATATACTGTGCACTTTTCTGCACGGATGAAGGCCATATTATAAAAGAAATAAATAAATAATAAGAATGATTGTCATATTAGTTGTCAAATCTAATGTAAAAAAAACGTTTGTATGGGAAATAGAAAAGGGCTGTTTTTATGGTTTTCCCAGTAATGAATCAATTTTTTTCAGCTTTTATATCTTCAGCTTTTATGACTCTGGATTTACAAGAAAAATTAGTCTTTTGAGAAATCTAATATTTCTTAAAAGATAGAATTTTACTATTTTAATATGCTCACCATATGCCATAAATCACCGTGTTTTGAAGTTCGACAGAATGATTGTCATATTAGTTGTCAAATCTAATGTAAAAAAAAACGTTTGTATGGGAAATAGAAAAGGGCTGTTTTTATGGTTTTCCCAGTAATGAATCAATTTTTTTCAGCTTTTATACCTTCAGCTTTTATGACTCTGGATTTGCAAGAAAAATTAGTCTTCTGAGAAATCTAATATTTCTTAAAAGATAGAATTTTACTATTTTAATATGCTCACACTAAAATAAAGACATATGTGAATTGAACTTTATGCATGGCACAAAATAATTCATTCTAGAATCGACCTATCTGCCTTATCATCACTCATTCATTTTAACATCAAATTTAGATCTCAACATCCACATTTGAATACCTTCGTCCTCAGCGTTCACATTAGTAATACATCATAATATTATAACCCTATCATTAGACTCTGCCGTACATACAATGATTTACTTTCAAAACACAGTGACATGTTAGATATATTTGATCCCAATTTTACAAGGCTTAAAAATAGGGTAAGGCTTATTATATTGACGATTCAATGATTTACTCTCCAATGACTTTTTTTTTCTTATGTTTATTGCCATGTAGTTGTTATTGAATTATATTTTAATTTTGACAATTTATTTATTATTATAATTTTTTAATTTAATTCTTTAATTTAATTTTATTTTTTAATTATACTTGTTACACAATCTTAATTGACTGTATCTGTCTCTTTTGCTCCTATTTATATTATTGTTGACTCAGTGAATGTAATTTAAACTAAGTTGTAATGTCCGTTAATGTTTTTTTTTGTATCAACAACTAAGTAATTGAATTTAAGTTATATGTTCCTATTTATTCATTAGTCTTAAATTGTACCTAAATAATGTAGCTCCTGACAAAAATATTGGTTTTGTAATGATTATGAAGTGTACACATGCTTGGGAATATAATCAAGCTAAATATAATTTTAGACTGTAACTCAAATGTAATCCGGATTATATTCTGTTTGTGTGCCTAAATAAATAAATAATCAGAATCCTTATCAACAACTTATAGGCAGTTTGAAGATCCTACCTAATACCTAATCCAATTCAATAACTGTATTAGTGAAGAGCTTTGGGTTTAGGCTAAAAGAATATTATATATACTTAAAGAAAACATAAAATTTGGTTTGAAATGTAGTAAGAATAAAAATGATAATATTGAAGGATATGTTATAAGGAAAGATATGTTATAATGATATGTTATAATGATATAGGCAGACCCTGGCTATAGCTGGGAAATTGCCAGGTAGAAGATATGTTATAATGATATAAGGACTGGAGCAGTGATGTTAATGACAGTAAATCATATTCAGGGTTTTGTTATATTTTGTCAGGATCAGTTATATCCTGGAATTGTAGCAAACAAAAATGTATTTCACTTTCTAGTACTGTAGCTGAAAATGTGTCAAAATCAGGAGCCTGCAAAGAAGCAGTGTATTTGAGAAACTTACAAAATGAAGTGACTTGTAGAATGTATACTATTATTTTGTACTCGTATAATGACAGTATGAGTGCTCAGAAATTATAACTGAACCCAGTATTCCATAATAAAACTAAACATATGGATGTCAGGTATCACTATTGCTGAGATATTATAAATAAAAACATTGTTAGTATTAATTATTTGTGTATATCTGATATGCCTGCAGATTTATTTACCAAAAGCTTAAGTGTTGTAAAACATTATAAACATGTAAATGCTTTAGGAATTGTTAGAGAGTGTAATATATTTTAACTTTAAGTTCATGTTAAGTATTTATATAGTTTAAAATAGATCATATTTTAATGGGAAGTGTTGTGGATATCAAAATATGGATACAACTAGCCATCTTGTGGCAATCATGTCAATAAGCGTTATTGTATTTGTCTATGTTCAATAAATCATTCTTCTGTCGATCTTCAGTTGACACACGTTGTTTTATTATATATTAATTATCGTAATCTAATTCCTATTAAACAGTTTATTTATTCATAATGGTGCTGAGGGAGCAGGATGTCTTTGTCTCTACTAACGTTTACATTAAGATCGGGTGTTGTCATATTTTCACAATAAAACTGTTAAGGTTATATTCTTACTTTCTGTTGCCCTCACACACTCATAAAAATATTTCCATCTGACTCAAACGAATATTGTAGCACACATAATTTGAACAAATGTGTAAAGTTGATATTTTTTTATGATTTTTATGAAAATCTTGAAACGTTCCTTCCGCCGTATATCTTTTCAAACATGTAATAAGGGGAGAGGCACAAAACTATGAACAAGAAATTCACTCTTAAAATAATCTAAAAAAAAACGAAGACGTTTCTCTTTTTTTGACAGATGGGGTTGATGGGGATGATGGGGATGATAGGGGTGATGGGGATGAAGGGAGTGATGGAGATGATGGAGGTGATGGGGATGACGTGGATGAAGGGGGTGATGGGGATGATGGGGGTGATGGGGATGATGGAGATGATGGGGGTGATGGGGATTAAGAGAATGATGAAGATGATGGAGATGATGGGGTGAAGGGGTTGATGGGGATGATGGGGGTGATGGGGATGAAGGGGCTGATGGAGATGATAGAGATGATGGGGGTGATGGGGATGATGGAGATGATGCGGGTGATGGGGATGAAGGGGCTGATGGAGATGATGGGGCTGATGGGGATGAA